ATGTGTGTGCCATTGTTGAAGAGGACCCCAATGCTACGGTTGGAGAGCTGGTAGCCAAAGCCATACTTGTTGGAGTAATCCACCCACTTGCTCACCCAGACAAAGTGCTCATGGCGGGCCAGGGAAGCTGGATTTTTCCCCGCTGGTGGAAAAGAGAAGGGGTGAGCAGAGCACACAGCCATCCCCTACCCACCTCAAACAGCACCCAAATAGTAGCCATGCCTTCATCCCATGAGGAAGGGGATGCACAGCTCCCTGCCCCATCCCAGAGCAGTCCAACCGGTTTACCTGGGGGCATGGAGGAGAGGCAGGTCCGCAGGAGCCGGACAGCCGACTCCATGATGGCAGAGGCAGTGATGCATTCTTCAAAGGCTGCAGGGAGAAGATGACAGGCTGAGTCAGACAGCCCCGCTATCAGCAAGGGCAGCACAGGAAGCCTGGGGCAGGCTGGGGTGGCCTGGGCAGGTATTGCTCACCCTCACAACTGCTGGCCATCGTCCCCCGGATGGAGGGGGATGCAGACTTGTGAGAGGTCTCCTCCACCACTGTCTCCACAGGGCTAGAGCTGGCACTGCGGCATGATACAGGGGTGGCCTGTGGAGAGACCTGGCTTTATCACTGTCCCACTTGCTCCCCCAAAGGAAGGTGTGCACAGGCTCAGGGATGTTCTCACCTCATTCCCTTCCACAGTTTTATAGCTCATCTGCCGACAGATTGAAGTCTTCATCAGCCCAGTGACCAGCTTGGAGATATCATCCTTGTCCTCCAAAGAGCCCTTCTTGGCTGAGGAGAACAGAAGTGATGAGCCCAAGGGATGGGGACATCTTGGCCACCTCTCCCATGAGCTCAGCTCTCCCTCATCTGCCCATGGTGGTGAGCATAGCACCAGGCAGCTGCCTCCCACTTTCACTTCCCAGTTCTCATGCAACACAGGGCTTCCAGGAGGAACTGCCCCCATGGGTTTCAGCACCACATCCGCTCTCTGGGCGCACACCCATGCCAAGCCACCAGTGCCAGAAGGGCAGGGACAAGTACAGCTTATACTGGCCCCAGGCAGGGGGTCCACAGAGACCCATCAGGATGTGTCTCCAGGAGGCAGAACCCACTTCTCCCTGGAGGAAGGGTCACCCAGAGACTCCTGAGCAAGCACATGGACTCACCCTTGGGTTTCTTCTTCCCAAAGAGCGTCTTAGTGACTTTAGCAAATAGACTCTTTGCTGGGTTGGGGGGACTCAGCTCTGGAGCCATCACACAGCTGCTGGGAGGGAGTTTCTCAGGCGTGTAGCCCTGCAGAGAGGTCAAGGCAGAGGTTTGGTTTCCATAGCCCATGTGCTTCAGGCAGAGCAGCTGCCCTGGGCTGACCGCAGTCACTCACAACCCTCCTGACAGCCAGCTTGCATTTCCACCAAGCCTTGTCCCCAGGAATGGCATCAGTACAGGAAACAACCCATGCTATAGGGACAAAGCAGCGGGAGCACACCAGATCCCTCAGTTTCCCTTGCTGGCATTTGGGCAGGACAGCAGCTGCTTCCTTTGAAGGACTGAGACCTGGGCTCCAAGGACAGCACAACACAGCCCAAAAAGCTGCACCCCACCTGAAGAAGGGGCAGGACCAGACCCCCCCACATACTCACCTTGAAAAACTCATGGTCCAAGATCTCCTCAAGGGTGAGGCGGTCCTGAGGGTTGCGCCTGAGGATGCTGGCAATGAGGTGCTTGGCGGGCAGGGAGAGGAAGACAGGGAGGGTGTACTCCACTTGCTTGATACACCTGTATGTCTCCTTGAGATCAGAGGTCTCAAAGGGAGGGTTCCCACACAGCAGGGTGTACCTGGGAGGGGAGACACGTGCCACTGTCACATCCCCACCAGGCTTGTGACTCAAGAGCACTTAAAGCAAGGAAGTTATTGGCATGTGGCTGGCCACACCTGGCTGGGAGAAACACTTCCAGACTGGGCTGCCCTGATCACGTCCGGCCACGCTTCCTCCTAGCAACTGTTTAGAGCAACAAGCGAGGAGCGCCAGGAAGGGAGAGAGGGCTGGTGGGCAAAGGCCAGCTTCTGCCACCATCGCTCCCAGCCCTGTGTAGCTGGTGGGGTGGTAAGCGGAGCAGGAAGCTTGCGGGCAGCAGCCAGACACGGGGCTTGGATGCACTTAAACGATTGCTCCCCAAACAAACAGAGCAGCGGCTGCCCCCAGCCACTGAGGTTTTCCATTGTTTATCAGGT